AATATCATTCAATAAATATCATTATAAATAATGAATTTAACAACATAAAATAAATTTCATTGTAAATTAATACATCTTAATATAATATGATTCAATGAATATCATTGTAAATCAAAACATTTTAATCCATTATGAAATTGATAAAATTTCATTGTAATATAATGCATTTATTGAATTGTACAGAAATGAATTTTAATAACACCCACCCCTAGATTTCGTTCTAAAAAAAATGCATCATTATATAATATCGATCTGTAAATATCATCGAAAATTAATGTATTTTAATTCTTTGCGTCCCAAATTATTTCTACTGGACACTGACACGTCCAGATAAAAACCAGCATGCTCGCATACGGATTCACGTGCGCACACATACACACCATATCACCAAACTCGACACCCACCACATTCACACCGTTGAACATTCTTTATTGCTATATTCCAGTAAATTACATAATAATTATTAAACATGTATAGATTTCTTTTTCCTACTATAGAATTCAAATGTTTAACATAACATTATGTAACAAATTTCACTATAAATGTATATATTTTCATACATTATAAACTCATACGTAGCATTGTAAATAATTATAAATTGATAACTGTATGTCATTCACGAAAAATCATAATGTAAAATAATATTAATTATTGTAATTAATATAAAAAATTGTAAACCGTAAAAATAAATCATGTGAGTGTCATGTTTTATCTTTATTGAGCATGCTCATGATTTGTTCGATCGAATCGTATGAGAATACTGGTGAAAATGTGTTTCATATATATATGTGTTTTTAAACATACATTGCCAATCAAAGACATTCTAATGATGTTGATATCAATTTGACGAACGATAATTGACGATGATGTGCACATTCGAATGTAATTGATTTGATTAATCATCATATGATTAAATGAAATGATGAGACACGAATTAATTTCATCGTTTTTCATGTGCATGGGTGTGAATACTTGTCCTTTGTTCATATACAGTCCTTCATAGACAATACATATTCTTTTCTTTCTTATTTTTTTGGATCAAAAGAAATTTCTATTCATCATCATCATCGAAAAAACAAAAGCAGGGCGGGGGTGTGGATGTGAATGAAGAACATAGACACACCCACCAACTTGTGTTGCTTTGTTTTTTTTTGACGAATTTCCTTATATTTTTTGTTCCTAATACAAACAATTGAATGTCAATTATTATTAGTATAAAATGAGTTTTACTTATTTAGAACTCGACAACAAGATTTCTATGATCAATATTCATCATCATACAATGATTCATATTATTGGCATGAAAATAATTCAAATTCATATGATATTTATGGTTCAATACTGGTGGAAATTCTTCAATTTCAACATCCATCTCATACACTTTTACAACAAAATAGTTTTACTCAACAAGTTTATCTTAAATATGAACAAGAATGTCTTGATGGTAAAAAAGAAACGCTGATTGTAGAGAAAAAACAGATTATTAGTTCAGTACATATTTACAATATTTCGAGAGAAACAAGCTACTAGTAAAAAAAATATTGAAATTATGTTACATTGAACGTATAAAAAACGAGTCTTTTAGTGACTAAAGAAGAGTCAACATATCTAAAAACAACAGCGAAAACTACTCTCCGGTAAAAATCAGAGTCTAAAAAGACTTATATTCTTATTTAAATAGCCAATAGAGAATATGTCTGTTGCTATAATTTTCAAAGAAAAAACAAAGATTTTACTCTTTTATGGAGTTTTTTCAATAAATACTATCATTCTTATCTACATGATAAATTTGAAAAGCAATAAAATAATCGTCAATGATTAAAAACACTAAGTTTCACTAATCGCCACACTTTATTATTTCATAGAAAATATTTATAATCTAAAGTTATGTTGATTTACAAATAAGATACATTTTGTTTTCTGTAATGATCTAATTTCTAGAAAGCGTTAAACTTGGTCCTGGTCAATCAATGGAAATGGATACACTCTATCGTTTTTAGTCATTTTTCTTATGAAAAATAATAAGAAGAAAATTGAATATTATTATTTATGTATAGATATGGTGTTGAATGTCTATTTCGATTTTATACATATGATCTAGAAAAATATTTTCGTCAACATGTATTTGAAGATTTTCAACATGAAACTCTTTGTAATCATGACGCTGGTAATAAAATAGATTACACACAAAAAAAAAAGAAAAGTGTCAATAACAAAAATAATTTTTCTATTTAGATCAATTATATGGTTTAGAAAAATTCTGGGTATTTTTAAAATATTCTCGACAGAAACCAAAAATCAATCCAAAACTTGAAGAAATTTTAAAAACTATAAAAATCTTGAAGATTTTCGTGTTGATGGTGCATCATTTCCACAACAATTTTTTCCAACAAAATCAAATTATAGTAATTGAAAAACATTGTTTTTTTTTCTATTATATAAATAATTTCTTTATAGACTGTTCCAGCATCCGAAGCAATTCAAATTCATTAAAACCCAATGGTGAACAATATCTGAACGGTGCTAAATTTTATACACATTTTGTTTTTCTTTTGTTTTATCTAAAAAAAACGGTGCTCACATTTTTTCAAGTGGATTTCGATTTATTTAAAAGTATGCATGTATTTTTTTTTTGCTTTCAAAGTTTATTGTTATTTATTCTTTTTCTATGTATATATTACATTGGTTTGTTATTGTAGTAGATAGATAGATTAAATAGTGATGCATTTTCTTTTTCTATCGATAGAGATATGAAGAATTTTCATATGGTTTCGTTTTGTTTCTGGAACTATTTGCTAATAAATTCATTTCGTTTATTTAATAATATTGGTAAGATATTGAGATAATATTTTATTTCGATAGAAGAATTTAGTGTTTTAGGAAGAATTGATATTGGTTTGGGTATTGGTGGTGGTGTGATTAATTCTATACTTTATAATGGTAAGTAATGAAAGGATTTAAAAAAAAACTTGTTTTCTTTAAATTTAAATATATTCTAGTTGATGATGGTCATCGAGCTGCTATTTTTGATCGTTTCCAAGGTGTTAAACTAGATGTTATTGAAGAAGGAACTCATTTTATGATTTCATGGCTTCGTAGGCCAATTATATTTGATATTCATACACGATCACGATCTGTTCCATCAATAACAGAAATAAAAGGTGTAAAAACTAGAAGAAAACAGTCAATTTCAGGAGAGAGGTGAACATGAGGAAAATGTAAGCTCGCGAAAAAAAGAAGGTAAATACGATGTCTATTGAAACATCAATGAACGTATATGGCTGAGGTATCTTAAAAATTTTGCGGCCATCGATGGCGACTCAACTGATCGGTTTACACCTCTACACTTTCATCATTCATCAATCTTAAGATACTTCATAAAACTTAAAACGGGAAGTCTCCGTTATTTTTTCTTCGTATAAATGAAATATGCATAAATTACATTTTATTATTTTTATTTTAGATTTACAAACAATTAATATAACATTACGTATTCTTTATCGACCAAGAGCTGAACTTTTACCAAAACGTTTTTGCAAATTTGGGTTTAGATTATGAAGAACGTGTTTTATCATCGATTATTAATGAAGTTTTAAAATCTGTTGTACTAAGTCTCAATTTGATGCTATTGAATTGATTACACAACGCACACTTATTTCTCAACGTGTTAGTGAATTATTAACAGAACATGCTGCTTAATTTGGTTTATTACTTGATGATATTTCAATTGTAAGATACAACAAAAAAGAGTCTCGAGTTGATTATATTGTTTTTTTCTTTAAATTAGACGCATTTAAGTTTTGAACCTGAATTTACAAGTGCTGTTGAATTAAAACAAGTTGCACAACAAGATGTTGGAAACAGGAATGCTCGTCGGGGCACCCAGATGGTCGGGGCCCATGGAGAACCCATGGGGTGACGCCCCAAATGGGGATGGGGCGATATGTTACCCCATCATCTTTCCCCACAATGGTGGATTTTCGCAAATTCATTTCCCTCCCCATGGGGTGGACCATGGGGTGAAAAATCTTTTAACCCCATAGTCTAAATGAACTTTTATCATTTATGAAATCGTTTGAAAAAAATGGATGACGAGATTGTAAAAATTATCTTATCGTCGTACAAGTAATACAGAATGTTACACGTTCTTCCTATATATTTTCTCTTTTGTTCTTCATTTTTGTTTTCCGTTGTTTTTCTTTCGTATTCAAGTAATAATATGAAAACGACGTTTCACTCTTTCGTTTTCTTTCTATAATTTTATAGTTACCTTCACTATTTCTTTCATTTTTTCAGCCGCCATTACTTCTTCTCTTTACTTTCTGTGTTCATCTTTCCATCAGTGACATACTTAGAGTATACCAAAAGTAGTGGTGCAAGTTCTGTAATTCGCTATAACACGTTTTAAGAAACTTTCTCTCTATATAGTTTGATAGAGACAAGAATGCTCCATATTTCTATAGTATATGATTATACTTCAACTAATATTATAATAATAAAATTTCGATAAGATCTATTTTGTTCACATTTATTACAACAACATGAATGCTAGCAAGTATTTTCTTTTAAATAACTTTTGATAAAAAGAAGGTAGAGAACTGCAGTTTTCACTATTAAAATCAGGAGATGAAGATGCAT